TTTTTTATGCATTTAATCTCCACATTAGTTTGTGCTATTATACTGGCCATATGGAATAGAAAGAGAAAAAAGAATGTCCTTTCTCTCTGATAGCAAATATTGTGTTTTACATCTAGACTCCTTCACCAAACCACCATCGTTTGACCTGGATCCTAGGACAAGATGCCTAAATTAGGCTAGCTGAGCTCTAACTATCTTGGTCTCTAAGTGCTCTGAGGTTAAGACCATAAAATAGCACTAATGGCTCAAGTCATTAACTTTTCAATAACTACTGAAGCTCCCACCCATCTGGCACCAGTCCAGTCCTCCACTCACCTATCTTTCTTTCCTCCGTTTTATGCACAGTGAACTCTACAGTGTCAATTTATAGTGTTTTCATTCATAAAAACTGAAATCAAAGTTTTTGCTAGTATTATATTTGTCAGCTCTTGAGATCTAACCTAATAGTCAGCAGCACAGATTTTTTATGAGTAACACAGTTCAATAGCATCCTGATGAAGTGAAGATTATATTGCAGCAAGCCAAAGGCTTTTGGTTGGTAGGTGGTCATTATTTAGGTCTCCCAGGCACACCTCCCCTACTGATTTTCTCTCCCCCTTCTTCCTTGGTGCACCACTGATCTGTGATTGCAATTGATTGGAGACTGCTCATCATTCCTCCAGGGGCAACAAAAGGAATCATGGGACAAATGAATGCAGCAGGTAGAGAGAAAATTAAGAAATGTGTGGAAGGCAAACTGATACTATTAAGGGAAGATATGGGGCTCTCTATGGTTTGACATGTAGCTCTTATGTATTTTTTATTTATACAAGTAGGTGACGACAGTGATTGAATGAGCCAAGGTAAAAAAGGCCAGTAAAGGCTTTCACTTTAGTGAAAGCTAATTTACTATATGGCATACGAAGGAACCCCCTGCTTAGGAAATTGACATGTGACAAATGAAAAGAAAATAATCACAATAACAAAATTATAGCAGGATTCTGGATCCTGATTCTGATAAATAATAGGGTTGGGAGAGAAAAAAGATTCAGTATTGTATTGCGATATTTTGTGAGACAATATTGTATTGATGAAGAGACACTAAATATGTGTGTTTTGTTAAAAAGTTAAAATTCTCTGGGAATAGTAGAAACAAGAGGCCTTATCTCACTTGATAGGAAGCAACCTTTCTGTAAACAGTCGCAGTCTGACTTGGACAGTCACCAATAGAGAGGCTGCAGAAGGTTTGCAAGTTCTATCTAATTTATAAATGCAGACAGATTGCCAACATATTGATATCAGTCTGAGTCTTTATGACTAAGCATAACTTGTGGGGACTTGACTTCGCTGACTGCTAGCTGGTTGTATTCTGGATATATTCATATGGAACAGGGCAAGGTTGCTGAGTACAGATGTAATAGTTAAATGTTATTTTCTGTCCATGTAGACAGAAACACGCAATGTTCACTAATTCATCAGTTAACTGCTGTATTATCAGAAATATATTGCATATATTTGTGAACTTCACCCCATATAATGGCATACTGATGACTACTGACTTCGGTATTAGGGCAATAATTGATGAAGTGAGGTAACTTTGGATAAAACAGATAATGTCAGAGTTAAACTTTAAGGATAATTTGCAGTTGAAAAAGGTGATAATTCACAATATATGTTATTGCAATTGTCACAAAATGTAAAATAAAAAATCATGAGTGAAGTATTGTGGTAATAATCGTATCTTGGGATATCTGATGATTCCCACCTCTCATATGTAATACATATATAATAAAATATAATAATGTATTCCCCAGCTTTGTGTTTTGGTGATGGTGTCGAGCGTCATCGTTAGGCTATTTGTTAATTATGTGCAAGTAATTATGATTTAGGTGTAGCGAAAGCAGCAGTTAATGAGTCATAGTATTTTCATAGTCATCATACCATTTAGTGAACCACTGTGCCCTATGGATGGAGGCCCTATAATCCTGGAAGAGACGGATGTAGAAAAACAGGATGTCAGAGCAAGCCTCCACAAATTTGGACTAACGCATTCATCTAAGTGGACCAAAACCATCAGCAAAATAACCCCACAGGCATAACAGAGCCAACGGGGGTCTCCTCACTGCCGGGTCAACCGTTTATGTTTTTTCTTTTAATTTGTCACCTGTCCAAGTCTGCCACTATAAGGAGAAACCAATGGCACCATTTCAGGAAGCATCCTCATTTGTTGATTATATGCATTCCCTCTTTCATTATCTAAGTGAACACAAGTCCTTCCTTTGTTATACTGTGTATTTACATGATGTATGCAGATCATTTTCAAAGACACCCATGCACGCGTACACACGCACACACACGCACACCAGCTTGGACACCCACTACTGCATCAGTGTCTCCAGACACTGTCAATTAATTAGGGCTGCAACGATATGTCGACATAATCGATGACGTCGACTATAAAATTTCATCGACGCAGGATTTTATTGTATAGATGTGTTTGTCCTGTAAAAAGGCTTGAGCACCTCTCAGATGGCTGAAGTCACAA